GTGGGGAGGCGGCTCGGCCATAGAAAGGCAAAGCCCCCGCACTGACGGCCAGAGCAGAGTTGATAAACCGGGCAGTGGGGCGGCAGGCAGCACTGCCGCCCTCCCTGCCCGCCCTGCCTGCCCCTTCCCCATCCTGCCGCCTGCCGCCCCGCTGCTGGCGCCTGTGTCCCACCAAGGATGGAGGCCATCAAGAAGAAGATGCAGATGCTGAAGCTGGACAAGGAGAATGCCCTGGACCGGGCAGAGCAGGCGGAGGCCGAGCAGAAGCAGGCGGAGGAGCGGAGCAAGCAGGTAGGGCGGGCAGCAGAAGCCTCCAGCCCAGGGATTTTTGGGGGATGGCTTCTCCCCGTGCTGGACCATGATGAGCTCAGACCCAACACTGGCAAGGGGAACAGGGGTGTGAGAGCTGCCACCGTCCCACAGCTCAGGGACCGCGTCATGGTGCCGTGGGGCATCCTGAGGGCTGCCCAGGGCTCAGCCCCTGCCAGCTGGTGTCATGTGGGACAGGGACAGACACTGTGGGGCAGAGCTGGCCCAGGGATGGGGCAGGAGGGATTCTGTGGGGCAGAGCTGAGCCTGGGATGGGGTAGGCAGGGTTCTCCCACCCTGCGGGGGTCCGGAGAGGCGTCCACCTGCAGTGACTGCTGCTGCCCTTCCAGCTGGAGGACGAGCTTGCTGCCATGCAGAAGAAGCTGAAGGGGACGGAGGACGAGCTGGACAAATACTCCGAGGCCCTGAAAGATGCCCAGGAGAAGCTGGAGCTGGCGGAGAAGAAGGCGGCAGATGTATGTATGGGGTGCAGGGTGTGAGCTGGGTTGGCTACCCTCCCTTTGTTGCCCTCCCAGTGGAACTGCAGCCCTTCCCTGCAGCCTTGGGGACAGAGGAAGGTCCCTGTCAGGCTCAGTGCACTCCTGGCAAAGCTGTGCGGGTGTCTGGGAGCAGAGAGTGACCCCAGGAAGGACACATCCTGGCAGGGGGCCACCCACGGCCACGCAGGGGACAGAGGGCTGCTGACAGGGGCTGGTCCCAGCTTCTTCCTGGGCAAGGATGTCCCAGGCAGCCTGGGAGCAGGGATGGAGCTCCCTGGGCAGCCAGGATTCTCGAAGCAGGGCATGGGGACCCCGAGTTGGGGGCAGAGCCACAGTGGCTGGTGGCAGCGAGCAGCCCTTCGAGCACAGGACATTGGGTGGGTGCGTGTCCCCTGGAAGCTCTGAGTCACGGTTGCTGTTGGAGGAGCTGAGCTCCAGAGGAGGAGGGAGCCCTCATCTCCCTGGGCAGGCGGAGGCCGCGTGGGCAGCGTGACAACGGCACAGCCCGGCTATTGTTGGCCGCCGTTTCCAGGAAAACAATGGCGCGAGCGGTGCAGGGTTTCACCGTCCGGCCGCTCTCCCGGGCATCATGTGGCACAGCGTTTGGCCCCACTCATCACCTGCCGGGACCTGGCAGCCGGAGGGGCTGTCACCCCGTGGGGCTGCGATGTCTCAGGGGTCGAGGTTGGGGAGATGCAGATCTTCCCTCCTGTGGGAGCCAGGAGAAAGCCCCCGGCTCCTCTCCCTCAACGGGCCCAGCTCTGATTCCAGCCTGGAGGCAGGAGCCTTCCCCTCCCGCTACGCCACTGATGCCGGGCCATTGGGAAGCACCCCAAGCCCTGGCACGGCACCTGGGCTGGCTCTTGCTGGCACATCCTGGCTCCAAGCTGGGGGCCAGGGCGTAATTGGGAACTCCCGAGCCCTCCCCGAGCTCTGGGCGGTTTGTCAACCCCGCGGCTTTGCTCATGGCTTCCTGTCCTGGTGCCGGCCGAGCGTGCCGGCAGCACCAGCCCTGCGCTGGAGTTTGGCACGTGCCGAGCGCGGTGTTGCAAAGCTCTGCAGAGCCCTTTCCCTCCCTTGCACCCTTCTTCCCTCCCTTCGCTCCCCGCTGGCATTTTCACACTCTGTCCCTGCCGTCACACTGCAGTGCTGAGGACCACATCCCCACTTGCTTCGCAACTTGTTAATCCCTTTCTGTGCATTTGGAGTCCCCTTTTCTGGCCACCACCCCCCAGGGTGGCTCTTGGGGCTCCCCTGGTTTCACCCTGGCTCAGGGAAGCGGAGGGGTGGGAGGAGGAATTTCATGCCCCGGAGCGTTGGATGCGCAGAGCTGCCTCCCAGCTGCCTCCTGGCTCCTTCCAGCCAGCGGGAGCAGGCAGGGTCAGCCCCTTTTGGTCGCCAGCTCATCTCTGGGGGACGTGCCAAGCCCTTCAGCCGGCCGAGCGCGTGCCAGCCCTCTACGCCCCAGCAAGTGCACCCCTGGGGCGTGTGCCTGCCTGGCTGCCGAGGTTTTTAGGAGGCAGCACAGAGGCAGCAGCCCGGTGCCCCTTTCCCTTTTATTCCTGAAGCGCTGCCAAACAGGCTTTGTGGCGAGCGAGGGCAGTGACAGGTCTCGGTTATGTTTGTATCGAGCTCTCAGGGGGCTCTGTGACCCTCACGGCACAGAGGAACGCTGCTCTCAGCAGCGTTTTCTGCCCTAACTGAGACTGGAGAGTTTTAGCAATGGCTAAAGCTGTCACAACAGCGGGTTTTGGTGCGTGGCGGTGGAGCGGGACCCTGACAGCAGCGCTCTGCACCACAGCTCGGCGGAGCTGCTGGGTGCCAGAGCCCCATCCCCGGGAAGGAACGAGGGGAACGTGATCTGCCGCAGGGCTGGGGGGTCTCAGGCCTGGCGGGGTCCGGTGGCTCTCCAGGGCAGGAGCGGGTGAGGGGAGGCAGTGCATGAGCTCAGCCCCCGGGAATGCAGCATCGCCACGGCCCAGCCGTGCCCGTATAAGGGCCTGCGGGGCTGAGGGACAGGGTGGCCCCGGGGCGGCCCCAGCCCTACGGCGCTCCCGGGACCGCACAGCCGCCTGGCCCCAGGACCCCGAGGGGTGGGGGCTGCGTGGGGCAGGGTGGGGGCCGAGGGGTGCGTGCACCCACATGGGGCAGGCCCTGGTGTCCCCACACCCGCATGGGCCAGGTCCCAGTGTACCCAGGCAGCCGCGGGGCAGCTCCCGGTGTCGCCTTACCCGCTTGGGGCAGGTCCCCGTGCCCCTAGGCTCATGTGGGCCAGGTCCCCGTGTCCCCAGGCCCACGTG